AATAAATTCTTACTTATTGAGGCAAATTAGGGCTGTTATCAGCTTGGAGTTCTATGAAAGTTCTAGAGCAAGTGCGGCACGAAGCAGATCCTACCGTGCCCTCCCTGGGAGCTGCTACGTTCTCACTGTCACAGTGTCCCTGAGGTAGGAAGGAAGTGGCAGAGGGGCAGGGCAGATCCCCTCTACAAAGCCAGTATCTGTGATCCGCCAAGTAGCACCCTTCTGTGTTTTTTGACAATCAGACCATGCTGCTCTTTCTACTGAGCTCAAATGATAGTAAGTATTTTGGGCAACAGATACAAAGTATCATGGACAATAGATACTAAGTATCGTGGACAACAGATACAAAGTATCACAGACAACAAATACTAAAGTATCGTGGGCAACAGATACAAAGTATCGTGGACAACAGATACAAAGTATCGTGGACAACAGATACAAAGTATCATGGACAACAGATGCGGTAGCACAGATATGTGTTTGGCAATACATTTTTATTTTACATTCTGAAATAACATTGTTGAGCTAAATACTGAGCTAAAGAAAATGTATCATTAAATTTAATTTTATTCAGCCCCTCTCCTTTTCTTTTCTTTTGAGATACTCTCACTATGTGTAGCTCAGTGTGTCCTGTAACTCACTAAGCAGTGTGGTCTGACTCCAAACTTGACATCGTCTGCCTCAGCTTTATGAGTGACACCATACCTTGCTCACCGTGCTTACTTTTTAAAATTGACCACCAGAAAAAAAATCTAAAAGTAGCTATTTTGTGGTTTCCAGTGTATTTGTTCTGGGCAAAGCTGCTCTAGAGAGTCTCTGCAGGGAGACTCTAAGGCAGTTCTGCCTATTTGCTGCCTTCTTGGTCTGCTGAGACTATGAGAGAAATCCCAGTACCACCTCTTCCCACACCAGCAATCAATACCTCACTGTGTGATCCTGGTTGTCTGCTTAATGTCTGTGCTCTCTCCCCACAGACAACCTGCAGGCGGAAGAGAAGGAAGATGAAAGCACATTCCCCTACAGGCTGAATGAAGATGAACTCCAGGGCTGTGAGTGAACTAGGCTGAGTCTGCTTTTTGGGGAAAGCGAGAAACACAAAGGAAGTGTTCTCTCCCTAAGAGTAGATGAAGGTCCAGGGTATGTGCAAAGAACATGCTTATCAGCTATGTCTTATCATTTTAAATATTTATTTTATTTTCAATTATGTGTATTATCTGAGTATGTCTGAGCATGCAGTAGCCTTGGAAGCCAAGAGGACACTGAATCCCTCTAGAGCTGGAGTTACAGGCAGAGTGACTTCCAGGACAGGCAAGGCTACACAGAGAAACCTTGTCTCAAAAATACCAAAAAAGAAAACAATGTTCAAAAGTAACACAAATTTACAAATATAATTCTTGGTTGCACAAGGTGCAGGAGTCTGAATCTCAGTCTGGTCTGAGCTGATCTACTTGGCCCTGCTGGCTCAGCACAGCTGTGGTGTGGAGACCCTCTGTCAGAAAGCTCCAGGTGATGTCATCAGAAATGATTCCATTACCAGCATTGTTAGGGTAAAAGCCTGGCTCTAGCAATCCCTACAAGCAGACTCAGCTGTCACCTCCAATACGCCAATTAAAGAGACAGTCACAATTAAAAGCAGAAAAAGACTTATTCAGTGTGGCCACACTGGGAAGGGGAACAAAGGGATACAGTGACTCCATAATGCATCCCAGGGTCCTGACATGAGGTTTAAGTTTAAATAGAGGGCAAGAAGGGAAATTAAACCCATCACTGAACCATCACTGTCTCAGCTCTGGTCTGTCCTGTCAGGTGGTCTGAATTGTCAGACACATGTAAAATCTCTCCCAGGTTCCTGGCTAAAACTAGGCCTTCAAGTCTTCCCTTAGCATGGGATTTCTGGGGAATTTTAATTCTTTGACGTCTATTTGGAGGTCTTTGAGGTCAATATAGTCTTATGGCCAAAGGGGGACGCCTAAGTGTTTGTCTTTAGCACATCTCTGTCTTGTTAGCATAGCTTAGTTCTGCTACCTGGCGATAACACCAGAAGTGTCATTTTCTATGGATCCCCATGTGCTGAGCATCCCACACCCCATAGCAAAACCCCACAACTGCCCTCTGAGGTAGGGGTTGCTGTCACCTGTTCCTAATGAACTATTTATAACTCCAGTGAGGAGAGGAACATCTCTCAGGTTGTAGGATGTTTAGAGATCACCAGAATTTATTTACTCAACCTTGCAGGCGTGGAGCTACACTGCCTGTTATCCCAGCACTTAGGAGGCAGAGACAGGAGGATTGCTACAGTTTGAAGGTGAACCAATCTACATAGCAAGATATTGGCCAGCTAAAGTGAGAGAGAGTCTGTCTCAAAAAAGGAAGAAAGAAAAAATAAAGAAAGAAAAGACTAAATAAATAAATCAAAACAAAAGAAAGAAAACTCATTTATCTTATAGCTGGAAATTTTATCTGCATCGCAGAGGGAGTGGACAGGATTCAGGGCTTCTATCCCTCCAGCAGCTTTTCTGTGTGGAGAGCCGCTGGAGATTTTTGATTCCATCATTTACCTTCTGTGGAAGGTTAAATTTCCTAAGTCCCAGTATTGGGAGCCTGCAGGGAACCCCCTTCACCACACACTCTCTCTCACACAAAAATGCCAAATAGTTTTCTACACTTCCCAGTGAGTGGCGGTGGTCCCTGCCTGGATCCATTGACCAATGTGGTTCATGGTGACTGATGCTCATTTTTACCTTGTAACTTCTGCTTATCAAGACCAAAATTTGCTTTCTCTGTGGTAGGTCTTCTGGAAGAGCAGCATTCATTCTTAACTGCGGATCCATCTTTCCAGCCCCGATTTAATGTAAACATTTTATGTCATTAAAACAAATTATGTTAGGAAAAAAATTAAGTGAGACAAACCCTAACCCCAAACCTAAATTTTTTAAAGATGTATTTATTTTTAATTGTCTGTGTATGAGAGCTGTCTTGGCCATTGTTCTTTTGCTATGACACCATGACCAAAGCAAGTCTTATAAAAATGAAGCATTTAATTGGAGGTTTGCTTGTAGCTTTAGAAGGTTAATCCATGATAATCATGGAGGGACAAAGACAGGCATGGCACTGAGCAATAGCTGAGAGCTTTATGTCCTGATCAGCAGGCAGAGAGCTGGGCTAGACCTGGGCAGGCTTTTGAAACCTCAAAGCCCACCAACACACCACCTTAAACAGGTCATACCTCCCAGTGCTTCTCAAACAATTCCACTCTTTGCTAATCAAGCATTCAAATAAAGCAGCTTATGGAGGTCATTCTCATTCAAACCACATGTGTTTGCATATATATGTGTATATACATATATATGTATATTGCTTGCAGTGCAGAAAGACAAGAAGGATTGGAGTTAGAGTTAAAAAGCTGTTGTGTACTGACATGTGGGTGCATGAATTAACTTGGGTTCTCCACAGGCGCACACACACACACACACACACACACACACACACACACACACACACACTCTGAGTGTAGGCTCCCAGAGTCAATATTTGGAACTGAATTGAGCCAAAACCCAGACATCTCTTCAGAGATGCAGACACAATTTTGACTAACGTCGAAGCTTGATTTTCACTTGGAATGGATTAGACTAATTTGTTCATTTTGAAATGCAAACCCTCCTTGCCTTCCCCCTTCTCATACTAGAACCCAATGACAATTCCAGGACTGTGTGTATTCTCCCCTGAACTCTCCCAAAGACCCCCCAAAACCTGCATTATTTCTAGCGTTGTCAAGTGGGTCTGGAAGCTGAATTTAAAAACTGCCCTGTTTTCTGGGTAACCCCCAAAAGAGAAAAAAAGATTTGTAAACAAGGAAACCAGAGATAGTTTTTGTATCTTTTTCTTGTTTGTTTTTGTAGTATTTGGGATCAAACTCGGGACCTCATACTCGGGACCATATTTTGTAGTATTTGGGATCATACTCGGGACCAGGTAGGAATGATTCTACTACTGATCTACATTTTTTACCTGTAAATCAAGGAGTCTAGGAAATGATCCCCAAAAATCACAGGACCCAAGGTTTACTACTTCCGCTTTGATTTCCTCTGGCAGGCTGTGAGGGGCGGGCTAATGGGCGGCCCCAGGCTCTCACCAGCGGGTTGGGTTGGTGACAGGCGGTGGTGGGGTGTGGCCGGCAGACCTCACGCGGCTGCCCGGCGCGTGTCTGTGCCGAGGTCCGCCCTGTGTCCGCCCGACCTGAGCGCGGATTCCAGCAGGCGTAGTCAACCCCGGTCGGCTTCTCTGTCCAGTTCCCCAAGTTGTCCGCAAGGCGCGGCGATTACATAAGCCGCAGAGGCTTGCCTGCCGAAGGGACAATCTTGGGTTGGGGACACGTAGGCCAAAACTGGCAAACAACTCTTTCTGACTTTCAGCACCGCCCCCTGGACAGTCCAGATTCCCAGGCAGCTTACTCAGGGTCGCAGATGTGATCTTCGGCCTCCTGGCTGGCATCAGGGACTCACTAGGCCAGTTTACCCTGAGTTCTGTTTCTTCCCCTCCCGACCCTAGGAATGGGGCGGTGAAACATTCACCGATTCTTCTCTGCTACTAATGAGCAAGGTCCTCGAAATCCTGCTTAATTATCCTGGGCCAGAAAACCCTCCCCAGGACGGAGGCCTCCCTTCTCCTGGAGTGAGCGTGCAGCTCCCAAGCTCTTGAACTAACCCCCTCAGCTCAGGACCTGAAGAGACTGTTAAGGACTTGAAGACTGAAGCAGCCTGTTTTTTTCACTCCCCACCTTTTTTGGGCAGTGGAGGGTCTGGGCTAGGAAAAATGTGAGGACACCTTAAGGCAAATTCTCCAAGCAGGACCTGGACAAAGACTTCCCTGTATGAGTTCCTTTTCTGTTTGTTCATTTTTGTTGTTTTAATCTTTTTATTATATTTTTAAATTTGTATATATGTGTGCCACAGGGCACCTGTGTCAGCCAGAGGACAGCTTGTGGTTGTTGGTTCTTTCCTTCCATCACGTGGGTTCAGCAGATAAAACTCAGGGAGCCAGGCTTGGTTGCCTTCACCCGTTAAGCCATCCTGACTGCCCAGTTGTTTTTGAGGTAGAGCCTCTAACCCAGGCCAGCCTCCAGCCCTCTATATAGGTGAAGAAGATGTTGAAGTTCTGATCCTCCTGTCTTCATCTCCTGGGTGCTGGGATCACAGACCTGCAACGCATGTCCTGCTTGTGCAGTGCTGGGGAATCGAGGCTGGACCTTATGCACTAGGCAAACATTGCTAACTGAGCTACATTTCAGGGCTTCAAAAGTTTCTGTTCGTCATGGTGGTGAGATAGAGCAGCTCATATCATGGCAGGCCGGGAGCTAAAGAGAAGGGAGGCTGTCGGGTTAGCTTGTTCGTAGCTACCTTTCATTCAGTCCTGAACCCCAGGCCACTGGAGAGTGCCACTCACATTTGGCATAGATCAACCCCACCTCAGTCAATTCTCTCTGGCAAGGGTATCTCTTGATAATCTCCTAGGTCTCTCCAAATTCAACCAACCTGAGAATAAAGATGAGCCATGATACCCACCTGCATAAGAAGGAGGCGCCTCCTTCAAAGCCTTTCAGAAGCTCAGTTTCCCTGAAGAGTATCTCAGCCATTTTTCATGGTTCTGGCTAGAAACTGAAGTGGGAAATAAGTACTTACAAAGGGTTCACCAAGACCAAATCCTACTCCTCTACCTGGCTGGTTGTTTCCAGAGCTTAGCAGTTTAGTAAATGTTTCCGAGGTGCTGTTCTGTGACTCCTCACCACCTCTCGAGATTTAGATGTCACTACACTCTCATGTTCTGTATGTGGCAAATATCCCTAAACTCACCAAAAGCACATATGTGAAAGTCATCATGAAACTGGCCATGGAGACACACCTCTGTGATCCCAACATTCAAGGGGCTGAATGCTACAGAGCAAAAGAATTGCCATCTTTTAAGAGACTATCAGGATGCAACTGTGGGCTATGGACATTCTCTCATAGGAAAAGGATGTGGAGGGTCCACAGACCCTTACCTGAGATTTCCGCCACTCCTACCAGTCAGTTGTATATGATTCTGCCCTACTTCATGTGCCTTGGAGTCTCAGGAGTTGCTATAGCATGTGGGCTGAGAAAGGGTGACCTGAAGGAGCTTCTTCTATGCAGCTACGGGGAAGTCATTATCCATGCTAGGTGAAGGATGCCTTGGGGTCCCGCGTGCTTCTGCAGGTAGCTCCTCACCTGTGCTCTGTAAGCAAGTGCAATAAACACTCGGGTTCACCAAGGAGAACTTTGATGGAATTGTACTTTGGTTTGTCATTTTAAAAATCTTTTTAAAACGGTTTTTATGGTTTATTTAACTTTATCTTATGGTGCACTGGTGTGAAGGTGTCAGATCCCCTGGAACTGGATCTTCAGACAGTTGTGAGCTGCCATGTGGGTGCTGGGGATTAACCGGTTTGTCACTGTGACCTTACAAGGAGGGAGTGGATGTTGTTTTTGTCACCCCAATAAAGGAATTCTCACAATACTAAGGTCAGAAGATTGCCTTGAGTTTGAGGCCAGCCTGGGCTACAGAGCAAAACCCTGCCTCAAAATAAAACAAGCAAGCAGACAAAAAGCCATCCTAAAAAGATAAAATTCCATAAAATATATGATAGAATAGTTACAATGAGTAGTCAGCTTTCATAGTACCCCTCCATTCTGACACCCCAAAATCCTCTATTGGCGTCATGGAATTAGAGTAACAAACTAACACAGACTATGTGACTCAAAGCAACAGAACCATATTGTGGCCTAGTTTTGGAAACCGTGAGTACGAAATCATAGTATCAACAAAACTCTGCCTCCTCTAAAGGGTCTAAAGACGTTCCTTCCTTCTGCTGACTTCCAGCACTTCGTGGTTGGTGGCTGTATCATTCCATCTCTGCTTCCATCTTCGCCTGATTTTCTCTCCTTTATCTTCATGTCCCCATTGACCATTTATATTACACCAACCATGTTGAATAAGTTTCCACTCTAATTGATTACATCTAAACAAAACAAACCCAATTTCAAACGGCACCACATCCACAGGTACCTTAAACTAGCTGTTCAAGATATCGTGTTTTTCTGGCAGGTCCACAACCCTATCTATAGCTCACTGCTGAGAAGGCATAAAATGGAGTTTCAGGTCAAGAAAAAGAGAACAGTTGAAAGGCCCTGAAAGAGAGAATTCTCTCTTACCCTGCAAGTGGAGAAAGAGGGTGATCATGGCTCATGCATGGTTAATGGAAGAACCAAGGCCAAGACCTGAGAGAAGCCAGACAAAAAGAAATTAAGAGATCTTGGAGGCCAGGTGGTGGTGGTGCACACCTTTAATCCCAGCACTGGGGAGGCTGAGGCAGGCGGATCTCTTAGTTCAAGACCAGTCTGGTCTACAGAGTGAGTTCCAAGACAGGGCTGCACAGAGAAACCCTGTCTCAACACACACACACACACACACACACACACACACACACACACACACACACTAGAAGAATAGAAGATGTATCTCCTAACTAAGATTAGGTTTGAGGAGCATCAAATCTAGGGACCAAAAGAAGTGGGGAGATAATATTACTTAACTTGGGGGTCACAGCATATGCCCCATCAAACCAGGTTCAGCCCCCCCATCTTCAATAAGCCAATTAAAAGAACCAAATTAAGACTGGAAAGCAGAAAAAGGAGGTGGATTCACTGTGGCTATATTGGAAAGAGAGGCAGAAATCCAGTCACCTCCCTAAGCCCATCTATCTCCAGGATTCTGACATTTCCCTACCAGAAAGTAAGAGATGTGTACCTAAGCAGCCCATTTAGAATGTGGTCCACTGCCCACCTGTCTCAGTTCCAAGCCTCCCTGCAAGGTTGTCTATCTTTCTCCAGGAGACAGCTTCCTCTTCCAGATGCCCCCACGACTTTATACATCTTTTTCTCCAGCAGGAGATTCTTGGGGTCCGTTCTTTCAATAGTTTGAAACCTAAGAGGAGCACATGTGCCCCTTTGCAGTATAAGCCAGATAAGTTAGTTACAATCGAAGAGGAAGCAGTGGAAACTGAGCAGGCAGGTATCAGGAGGGCAAAGATGAGAAAACAAGAGTCTTCCTGCTCTTGAGAAAGTCCGGTGGAAACTGATATGACCACCAAGAGAGAAGGGCTACAGCATTGGGCCTCACGAGGAACCAGGGTGCCCCAAATGCCCACAGACACTTTAAGACCACAGTCACCTTGTTCTCCTGCCCGGATCTGTTCTTGAGTCCGTGTTCCCTGTTCATTTTGTCAGGGGGCTCCCTGTGTGGGGAGACTCAGCTCTATCCTGCCACCTGTGCCCCGAGGAGGTCTCTCTTTAAGGACCTCCATGAGTATGATGCTGAGATCTTGACTTACACCACAAAAAAAGAATTTGATGACGAGCCAGCATGAAGCAAGGTGGGGATTTATTAAGAAGAATAACGCTTTAAATTTAAGTGCAGGCATTAAGAGACACACCTAGCTGTCTGAACAATGGCTGTATGTGTGATTCTGTGGCTTTTGAAGTTACATTGCTCAAAGGATGTAATTTTCAACCAGGTCCAAAGGTCAAACAAAGTTTTAAAATTAAGTTTTAAAAAAGATCTTGTTTACTTGTTTCTCTTTTACTAGTTTTTACAGGTATTTATTTAGGTGTGTGGCGGGGAGTTGGGTTGCATGCCACTGTGCATGTGCAGAGGTCAGAGGACAACTTTTAGGAGACACTTCTCTCCTTCTACCATGTGGATTCTGGGGAATCAGACTCAGGTCACCAGGTACCAGTTTTGTTTGTTTCTCTTAGACAATTCTGTAAATGAAATTATAAGCTGACTTAGGAAGTACATTGTTTGGCCAAGGGGTATTGTTGTTATTGTTGTTGTCCTTATTATTATTATTATTATTTTGGATTTTCAAGACAGGATTTCTCTGTTTAGCTTTGGAGACTGTCCTGGAACTCACTTCATAGTCCAGGCTGGCCTCATACTCACAGAGATCTGCCTCCCAAGTGCTGGACTTAAAAAAAATGTTCCACCTCTGCCTGGCTAAGAGGTTTTGTTTTAAGGTTTGTTTTTAATTATGTGTATGCCTATGTGTCTCTGTGTGGGTATGTGATTGTGAGTACAGGTGCTCACAGAGACCAAAAAGCATCGGATCCTCATGGAGCTAGTTATAGGAGGTGGAAAACTGTCTGATGTGGGTGCTGGGAACTTGAGTTCTCTGCAAGAGCAGTGTGCTCTTTCCACAGAGCCATCTCTCCAGCACCTTTTTTCCCCTTCTTCTTTTCTTTGTGACAGGGCCTCGTGTCACCAGGGAGGCCTGGAACTCCTGATTTTCCTGTGTCCAACTTCCAAGTTCTTAATTACTCGTGCGAGCCACCGTTGTAAGTGTTACAGTTCTGAGGGAAAAGGCTTCCCCTTCGACAGTGTTACAGCTCTAAAAGGAAAAGCTTCCCCAGTGGAGATGTTAGAGCTCTGAGGAAAAAGGTTTCCCCAATGGAGGCATTGCAGTATTTGAGAGGGAAAATTTCCTCTATGGAAGTGTTGCAGTTCTGAGGGGGAAGGCTCTGAAAGGAAAGACTTCCTGGCAGTCAGAAGCTGAGGAATACCACAAAGTCACGCTGCACAGCAAGCCTCACACAGAAATTTATTAGGAAATGAACCCAAGAAGGTGGCTGCCTCTGCTCTGACTGGGGACTAAATAGGAGACAGGCTTACATAGGATTTCTTGAGGGAAGTGTTTTCCAGGGTGGAGATACAGGGTGGGGGTTGTGAGATTTCACATCAAGCCTGGGATTGGTGGCTTTTTGGTAGGTTTTCAAACCTAGAAGTCCACTGGGACCCTTTACCCTGCAACCCAGCCATGCTGTCTAGTTCTAGGCATGAAAGAGATAAAGTATGATGAAGTTAAGCTGAGGTCGTGTTCTGGCTTTACTTGGGTTTGTTAGCTGTCTCAACATGCTTGTTTGAGACATCTCGGAAAAAAGAATCCTGGCTCTGTGGGCACAGTAATAGCAGCTTAAGTTTATCAGATGTGTTTTGATTCTTGACTGTAAGCCAGAGAAATACAAAACAGATCTGAGACAGATACTAGGCACTTCCCTCCCTTTCCGTGTTCTCTCAGTTCCAGCCCCACCTCTCAATTCTTTTCTGTTTTTGATGTCATTGTTTTTGAGACAGAGTCTTCTGTAGCCTTGACTGGCATGGACCTCACTCTGCTGATCAGGCCTGCCTCCAGCGTGTGGCAATTTCTGCATCCTGGGTGCTGGAATTTCGGGTTTGTGTCACCACGCCCCACCTTTTCTCTTGTCCTTTTATTTTCCTTCAGGTTTTTGTTTTGTTTTGTTTTAGACAAGGTCTCAGCCAGGTGGTGGTGGCACCGCACTCAAGAGGCAGAGGCAGGTGGATCTCTGTGAGTTCAAAGCAGCCTGGTTTACAGTGAGTTCCAGGACAGTCCGGGTTGTTATACAGAGAAAGACTAAACCAAATCAAACCAAACCAACCAAACAAAAAAACCCCAAACATCAACAAACAAGCAAACAAGGTCCTGGCTGTCCTTGAACTCACTATGTAGACCAGGTTGTCCTCAAACTGACAGATACCTACCTCCCAAGTGCTGGGATTAAAGACA